ATTTTAATACTTATTTCTTTTATTAAAGAAGTAAGGTATTTATACTATTATAACTTCTTAGATAGAGATTATAATATAATTAATAAAAAATATATAAATAATTATAGGATAAAGGAATATACTAAAGTATTAAGCTATAAGAACTAGTCTTAAGGATAAAATTAATAGAGAGGAGATATTATATTATAAATTAATATATACTATAAAGAATTATATATTATACCTTACTTTTTCTCTTATCTTAAGCTAATTAAGAATAAATTACTTTAGATTATTAATAAGCTTATATAAGCTACTTAATATATATATATATTTATTTCTTAAATAGAAATATCTTCTTAAATAGTTATTAATATAATTACTATTACTTTTATTAAAACTAGCTTCTTAGTACTTATATATTAATAGTAACTTATATAGTACTAAGATAACCTAATTACTCTCTTAGAATAATACTCTAATTAGTTATATCCCTAACTTACCCTAGACTTTATTTAGTATAAGTCTACTAACTATTATATCTTTTAACCTAGTATTTTACTATTCTATAGCTTTATTATAAATAGTAGTTATTATTTTTTACTTAATTAACTTATTCCTTAAGTTTACTATACTTATTATTATACTTAAGTATTTATTTTAAGAGTTCTTTAAGTATCTTAGATATATTTATATATTTTAGAATATATTTCTAGAACTTCTTTAGTTATTAGCTAATTCCTTCTTATTCCTTTAAAAGTATTATTTCTCCTTAAGAGTAACTTATAGTTTATTCCTTTTTATTTATAAAGGTAATTTCTTATTTCTTATTAATTTCCTTATCTTTAATTAATAATATTATAATAGCTTATTTTTAATATTATTATTTATCCTCTTCTTAGTTTTAATATTATTTTAAAGATTTCTTTATATAGTATTTATTATTATCTCCTTCTCTTATTAAGTTAAATATTAATTATTTTATATATTAATAGTTTAAGTATTTCTAATTTATATATTATTTAATATATCCTTTATAATTATAAGCTACTTAATCTTTTTAAGCTTTTTATTTATATTATAAGTTAATTTTATCTTTTTTATAAATCTTATATTATTATTCTTAATATAGCTTAATTAATAATTCCTTAAATTTATATTCTTTAAAATACTTTTCTAAATCCTCCTTAAAGATAGAATATTAATTAATATTAAATAGTTTATTTATAAAGTAAAGTATTTATTTACTAATATACTTAGGAGATATCTTTCTATTAAGTTAAAAGAAAGTATTATTCCTTATTTTCTATTATTAATAAATTATATAGAAGATATTATAGTATATTATCTATAACTCCTTATAGTAATTAGTTTTAAGGATACCCTTTTAGTAGCTTAATAACTTAAAAAGGCTATTTAAGTATTAAATAATATTTACTATTTTTTATTTATAGATTATAAGTACTATTATAATAATTAAGTCTTATTATTTAATTTTTAGCTAATAGTATATATATACTTCCTTATATTGTACTTATATTATATTTTTTATTTATAAGTAATATTTTCTTTCTTTTAGTATATATTTAATAAACTTATTATAATATTAAAATACTAATTTATACTTAATTAAAAGGCTATACTTTAAGTTAATTTTACTCTTTTTATACCTTTTTTTTATATCTTTAAAGACTTTTTTAATTTATTATTAATTTTCTTTTATTATATTATTTTCTTATTATTTTTATTCTTTTAGTATTTTAATAAAGATAAATATAAGTATTATAGAAAATTTAAAAATTATAATATTTATAAGTATTCCTTCTTAAGTTATTTATTAAATTATTCTTAAAGTTTAATTCTTAGTTTTTTTAATTATTCTTAATTATTTTTTACCTTTTTTAGTAAGCTTTTAATTATATTACCTCTTAGGTTTTAAATATTAAGGGGTTATATACTTTATTTCTTTATAATTATAGTATTTCCTTTTTTTTATAATCCTTAGCTCTATAGGACTTAAGTATATCTTAAATTCTATAAATAAGAGTAAAGTTTATTATATCCTATAGTTAGGTTTATTACTAACTTTTATATAGTTTTAATTACTTTATCTTTTTCCTTTTTACTATTTCCTTTTATAAATATAGTTATTAATTTATACTATATTAGCTATATACTTAATTAAATTATTTAGTTTATTTATCTTAAAGAGTTAATCCTTAACTTTATCCTTAAGTTTATTATAAAATATAGATTTAAATAGTTTATTATCTTAATTTAATTAAGATATAATTTCCTTAAACTTTATAATATACTTTAAAGTAATATTAACTTATTATAAGTCCTTAAGTTTCTTTATAGCTTATTATTTATAATCTACCTTACTAAAGGCTCTTATAAGTATAATAATAAAGTTTTTATAGTTAATAAGGATATTAACTATATTTTAGTTTTTACTATTTAGCTTAGCTTTATTATTATATTAATTATAGAGGAATATCTAGAATTATTATCTTATAGTATTAGTAAGGTAAGTTCCTATATATTTAACTTTATCTTTATCTTTTTTAAGCTTAATAAGAAAGAACTTAAAATAGGATTAAAGTTAAATCTTAAATCTATTTAATTCCTAAGTATCTTTAGTAAATAGCCTTAATAAGGTTAATTATACTATTTCCCTTTAGTTTTTTACTTATTTCTTTTTAAGTCCTTTAATATATACTAGAAGTTATTTAATTATCTACTAAGTAGTTAGTACCTTTAAAGTATTAATCTATTAAACTAAAGTTCCTAAGGTAATTATATTATCTTTTTTATTATTATATAGTAATTAAGATAAGGTAATTAGCTAAATAAGAGTTATTAATATATAATAATTAGTTAATTTATACTAAATAAGGTCTAAGGTAAATTAAGGTTAAATTAATTAAAGTATTATTTTAAGTAATATAATTAAGTTATCTTAGTACTATATAAGTTACTATTAATATATAAGTATTAAAGAGTTAATTTTAATAAAAGTAGTAGTAATTATATTAATAACTATTTAAAAGAGTATTTCTATTTAAAAAATAGATATATATATATACTAAAGTACTTAATCCTTATATATCTTAATTAATACTAAGTATAATATATTTAATTATAAGTATATAGTACTTAGCTTTAAGTATTATCCTTAGTATTTAAGTATATTATATAATATAGGTATAGGGTGGCTTATAACTAAGATATAATATATAGAGATAAACTTTACTATATAATATATAATTATATAAATTACTAGATATTAGGAATTAATAAGCTTATATTACTAATAATAAAAATTCTATTATAGTAAATATTATATTATACTCTTAAATATAATAAATTAATTAATATTTTTATATTTTTAAATATTTTAATAAATAAACTTTTCTTAATATAAACTCTTTAATATCTTAATTTAATCTTAATTAAAAATATAAAACTAAAACCTAACTTAATATCTTTAACCTTTAAGGGCTACCTCTACTTAAATAAGCTTAATATAGTATATAATATACTAAAACTAAAAGTTATATTTTAAATTATAATAAGTATAAATAAAGAGATAGCTATTATTAAGATATAGTATTTAATCTAATTATCTCTTATCCTCTCTAAGTATTTATAGTAATATTTAGCTATAAGCTATATAATAAAGAGATAGACTTAATAAATATAATTACTAAATCTATATTATTATAAATAGCTTTATTATTATAAATAGGCTTTTAATTAATTAAAGAGGTATATTTTAAATTAGCTTAAGATAAAGCTATTTTATATAATATTTAATATATAAGGACTTAGTTATATAGCTTAATTAAGCCTTAATAAATAGAGATATTTATATTTAATATTATTATTATTATAAGGTATTTAATAATTATAATTAATAATAATAAGTATCCCCTTTTAGGGCTATAATTAACTTATATATTAGCTAGCTTTTATTAGAGTTTTTAATAAGATATTAATACTTATACTTAAGCTAAATATATAAATTTTTAAGTTTTTATAGTATTAAAGGTTTAAATATAAGCTATAAATTATATTTTAATCTCTATTAGATAATAAAATTATCTTTCTAGAAGCTCTCTTTAGTTTAAAATAAATAAGAGAGCTTAAGCCCTTTTACTTGCTTAAAACTATTATACTATCCTATTGCGCTAGCTAAGATACTAAGAGTAGGTAATATATCCCTAGCTAAATATATACTAGCAAGCCTTATTCTATAAAGTTAGGCGGTAGTAGTAGTAAGAAAGGCGATGGAAAATATACTAAACCGTCGGAATATATAGATCCGCAAGACAATAAGCAGGGTTGGTGCGGGCCTCCAATCTACTATTGCTTGATGCACCAAGGGTCAGGCCTTGACCTGAAGCATGAGGTGCCACTTCCCTACTGACCAAGTGGAAACTCCAGACATATCACATTGTATGAGCAAAAAATATAGGCTAGAGATAATAACAGAGGAAACAATAGAGAAAAAGGAAACCTATAACAGCTGGTATTCGCTGGTCGTTACTGATCTAACTACTAATCGGCCCCTTACTAGCTTAATGTGCGGAGAGCAGATGGATCTAGTGCTGTCTAGTAGGTATGGTCGTAGATAAGAGCGGGTGGTGATACCGGGCCCATATGCCTGGCAGGTTTGTCCGATGAGACGAAGATGGGAAATAGCCAGGTACTGAAAAGCATGCCCTTTACACTGATACCAGACTAAATGAGGGGAGCCAATTGCCAAACAACCAGCAGCCAGCAGAATCAGTTCGGCCATGTCACGCCGACCAATAGCGACCCACGGCTACAGACCTCGGGTGGCACACGTGACCACCAGCACCCAGACCTAGGGTTTAGGGTGGCCGTAGTGTCCTTAACGAGCGCCTGCCTTCAATCAGCGACATCCAGCCCAAACATTGATCGGAACACTACACCTACCACCCCTGCTACTAGGTACTACATGTTAATGGATGCACTTGACAATTCTATCAAGGATGCAAGTATTTCAAGGACGCAATGCTTCCGCTTGTTACAATTGCCATCGCCAAAAGGTCAAGTGTACCGGGGGTGAGTGATGACAGAACGCGCCTTCGTGGGACCCCTACCAGATGTTATCATACTGATGCCCTTGCCGGCGTAGAGCAGCCATGCCAGCGGTGCTCCAAGAGCCAGAAGGCTTGCGTATACCCCGAAGCCCAAGGCAGCATCATTCCCGTGCCGGAAACATACCTACAGAACCTTGACCGCTCACTGAATGAACTGACCGACTCCATTCGAATGCTTCAGTTCCGCCATGCTGGTTCCAGTTCAACTGGACAATCTTGGACTCATGATCAGAGACCCGGGCTGCAGTTTCAGTCTCAGCCAGCGTACTCCGCTAGGCGAGGTGCTCCCGATTCTTTAGTCGAAGATTCAACCGTCGAAGCTTTCATCCGTAGGCTAAATGAGGCCGTGGGTGATAGCAACGGTCAAAAGGACGTCCCCACCAACACGCCGACTGTGAGCCAAGAAACCAACCACATCACACCTATGCTATTACGAGGTCACGAAGAGGGGAGATCAGCAACTTTTCGTGTGTGAAACCCCTCGTTTCTTCCCCAGAGCTCGCAGCATCTAACTCCGGTTTGCCTACAGTGGGCAGGGAAAGCCTGCCGCTTCCCCCATACGAATACGCGTCGCAGTTAGTGACCAGAGCTGAACAAGAGTTCGGTGACTGCCACACTTTCCTTCGTAAGTCATTCTTGAGACGTTTTCATGCCACATACAATGGCCATCAGTCTGAGACCCATGATCGAAAATGGCTCTGCCGTCTCTTCTTCGTTTTGGCGCTTGCGGAGTGTACAACCACCACCAAGCGGCCAATTCAGCTTTCCGCAAATGGAGCAGTGGCTGAGGCCATCCCAACGGAAGGTTCAATGGAAGCTTCTCTCCGATCAGAAGAGATGCTGTCTACTGGACTGGGGTTTTTCGAGCATGGACTCGCGCTGCTGAAGATATCCTACGAGGAACCCACGGTTGACGATGTTGAGGCTTTAAATTTAGCTGTGAGTAACTCTCCACTACTTCAGTCTGGCTCAAACTAACCAAGAATTTGCAACCTCTAGTCGCACTGTTGCTACATTCTTAACCGCCGCATGTCAGCCTATGCGTACGCTGGGCAGAGCATACGACTAGCCCATGGCTTGGGGCTGGACCATCCAGCACCTACGTCCCTATCCAACTTGGAGCGCGAACACAGGAAGCGGGTCTGGTGGACTGCGTTCTGTGTGGATCGAATGATTAGCACAGAGCTTGCTTTACACCCTGCGTATACTGGCCTCGGGTCGGAACTTGATTATCCAGACTCTTCTAGCCTGATGGCCGAAGAAAAGGAGGAATTCTTTGACCCACTGCTACTAACAGCATTAATAAAATTATGCGAGATCAAGGGCGATGTTGTGAATACTGTCAGTCGGCTTAAGCAAAACGATGTCACGGAGCCATATCAAGTCTTACGTCAATGCCTTCAAGTTTTGGATCGATGCGGGAGAGAACTGCCCGAGAGGGTGTTTTCTGGGGGGAACTCGCTACCAGAGAGCCGTATATGCTCCTCTCTTGCGCTGCGCTACCATCAGGTATGTCACGATATTCTCTATTTGGCCGTATCTAGCTAATGCAGTCTCCTCTATGCTTACCAGTGTTATATTATGCTTCTACGGCCTATTCTGCTCCATCAATTCACGTTTATGCTCCGGAACAAAATAGTTATAACACTCTCGGATGAGCTTTATACCATCAACAATATATGTCTTCAAGCCGCGCGAAGCAATGCTTGCATTTTACTCGAGCTGGCCCAAGCAGGGGAACTTGGTAGGTTCAGTCCCAATTCCTACCACAGCTTTAGAGGAAAGCCTCATTAATAACTGGCTGCTCCACGACAGTCAAATATGGCTATTGGGACTCGGCTCACCTCTTCTCAAGCCTCGCAGTTCTCACTATAGCTCAGTCCATGCGCAACCACCACCCAAACGCCTTTCGTTGCACCGGAGAGGACATGTCACGCGACGCGGACACATACAGCAAAGGACGGGCTGTGCTCGTGCACATGGCGTACACAGGGAACATGGCCTCAAAACAGCATCTGAGCATGCTTGAAGAGGTGGAACGCCACGGCACCGTACTGTCTGCACTGAAGGCTGGTAATGATACGCTGCCGGTGTCGACCTCGCCCGGCGAGGCGACCACCGAAATGGAGCTGGATTTCGAGGGCTGGGCATCACTGAGAAGCATGTCTAATCAAACCGCTAGTGGTGTTGAAGTTGACCCATTCGATTTCTTATAATCGAAATTTAACCTGGAGTAACTTAGGTGCCGTGTCACTCCGTCGTTAGCAAGCCCGACCATTATAAACAGCTAGGCCTATATGGCCGCCCAATAGAGGCTCACGCCGCTTAGTCGCACTTCACTACGGACTTGTTCAGATTGAATTGGCAAGAAGTAATTATGGCTTAGGATCCAACGTGGTTGGCATACTTTACGAGTCTTTGACACTTCGTTACAAGAACCCCCACAGGACTTCCTCCCCAACAGATTGGCCACGGCAACAGATGAAGAAGCAGTCTATATATCGGACTAGTTGTCAAATTTCCCCACGCCATTGGTATCACCATGCAAAAACTCTGCTGGGTCCTGGTGATCTCCGATGAAACCAACGCCGCCGATTGCTTTATCTAAGAAGAAAAGGTGATCAGTCCGAGCTCCTATTCAGATCCCAGGGTATGGGAACCTGTTCTTACAGTAGCCGGTCAACCTAAGGATGTCGTCGGGCAGGCTGCGAGCAATATCTATAGGAGTGGACAGAATCTCCTGCTGGTCCTGGCGGTAAAAGTCTCGTTGGCTGGAACGGATAAACGCCGATTAGGAATACAACCAATCAATCATGCTGGCTAACCAGCCAACACTGTCGTGCAGGCAGAGAACTTACCCAAAGATGGCGAACAAGGTGCGCACCGCATCTGGGTCGGTCCTCTCGCACTGGTTCATGCCGCCTCCGTGGTATGTTGCTGCGAATTGAAGTGGTGTATCAGTTGCCAGTTCACATCCTTCTATTACTGCCTGGGACCGACGACCGACCAAGTACTTACTGCCGAGCGTGAAGAGCGCTGATCTTGGCTCCATCTCCGCGTACGTGCACTCTTCGACTTTAGGGGCGCGGTCAGGACCCCATAAGTGGCTTCCGGGAATGACCGCGGTCGCCTGTATGACCCTTAGCCATCAATCAATGCCATGAATGAAGGGGCAGTCGTCCAACTTACGCCGTTCTTGTACGTAGCCCTCGAGCCAGCGATTAGACAGCCGACCATGGGGGTGAATAGGGGGTTCTCAGGGTCGTGTAAGCCGCCAGTGCCGTAATTGACATCGTCCTGAAAGCTGATTAGCAACAATAGGAAGAGTGATCAAAGCGTCCAACCCCAGCTTACTCTGTGCAGTGATTGTCTCTCAGCTCCCGGGACCAGTCGAATAGCTGCCGTCGAAGAAAGTATGTATCCGCTCTTCCGGCTTGTCTTGTTTGCGCCGTTGAATCCCACGAACTCTCCGCTGCAGGGGCTTTTATTTAGCTTCATAGCCAGAGCTTTGTGTCTTTCGGTAGGCCTTACTTCAAGAAGTGAGCCATAACACCTTGCCAGACGTTCAGGCGGATGATCTTGGTTATCTGTTCTGGCATTTTGGCTAGGAGACCCTACAAGCGCCGCGCATTAGTCTTGGGCACACTGGGTCGTGACCCGCGTGGCGTGATGTACGCACGTAGGCGCGCTGGGAACCCTCCGGGAAGAAGTCATCCCCAAGGTCTTTCTGGGCAGACTTGGGGTCATAAGTCTTTCCACTAGAGAGGAATGGCTCAACTTTGAACGGGGATGTTAGTGAGCATCTTGTGGTGAGGGCTAGCCATTCAGCTTGAGCACTCACTTGCGCGCATGGATTCTTCTAGAAGCCCAGGTTCAAGGAAGTTGGACACAATTACACCGCCGTCTCGAGCTATGGCGTCCAGGATCCTATCCAAGGGCTCAGAGGCATCAATAGTGGCGAGTTTGGGTGCCATTGCTAGGTTAGGGATGGAAATCGTGGGTGAATACTCGAGAGTGGGAGGGCCAAGGGGAAAATGGTCAGTGAGGTGTCGGTGTTTTTTTTTTGGAAGCGCCAGCAGATGTCTATACATGATGCTTTTATAGCCAGTGATGACTCTGATGAGGCGATGCATGCCTTTTCACTCCATACAAAAGCCTTTTCGAATTCCTGTGTGGATATGAACACCGAATTCAGTCTAGAGATCACTCCCAGTTCCACGACTAGGTTCTTTGTCAACCTAATGCAACTACAGCGAGTGACTCTAGTGAAATTGAGAGGCGGTCCGTGTAGTTCCCAGGAAGCCAGCGTCGCAACATGTCGGTGGCACGCCGTAGCGGCCGACACAAGAAAGCTTTGCCCACCTTTGGCCCTGGTTCAACTTCTCCAGCCAGGTCACCAGGGGAGAGAGCCCACTATTAGGCCCCACCACCGTAGCGGCCGATGCTAGCTCCATCTGTGGAGAACAATAGGCGAGGGATCTCGGAGAATCAATGTTCGCAGCCCATCTAATTCTGTGGTCGCGTCAACTAAAGACACTTCCCTACCTAGTTAAACCGGTCGTGGCAGGACTCCGATCTCTTTGCTCAAGATTGGGGTTGGCCTCCGCGAGCCCACCTCTGGATGTTAAGGTCATGTAGGTAATGGGGCAAGAGCCCCGCTGCCCACACCATCCCCGGATAGTGTTCAGCGCTAGTTGTGGCTCGCGAGATGGTGCATTGGGACGTCCGTCGTTCCTGCCCGCTCACTTGTAGCGAGACATAAAATGATTCCGTGCCGCTTGTTGTTAGATGCTGTCCCTCCATGTCAATTTCAACATTCCACGCGACTGCAATCCATACCCCTTACCTGCTTACACGTTGCGCAATGGAACGCACCCCGAAGTTCAACCATGGTATCGGGGACGTCAACACGAAGGAGGACGAATCGACGCATAATGGGCGCGTATCCATCAGCAATGGCCAAATGGTAAGCCTATCCTCCCCCCTTTTCTTCGGCTGCAACGCCTTTGCCTGGGTTATCTGACAAGGCTTTTGAACATAAAGGGCGAAACTACGGCTCCAGATGCGGGCAACGAGGATGTGGACAGGGCGGTCCAGCATTCAGTCAACCATCGCAAGTTGAACTCGAGGCAGATTCAGCTGTTTGCCGTGGCCGGTGCTGTCGGAAAGTAAGCATTTTCTTTGGAGCATGAAAGTACGCATCTCAGTTTGCTGATGGAAGTCTTCCACTGGTGCAGTACTCTCTTCGTGAGCATCGGCAAGGGTCTTCTCGCCGGGCCGCTCGCCCTGTTAGTTGGCTTCCTCCTCTGGGGATCTGTCATTTTCTGCATGGCGCAGTGCCGTAAGTGATTCCTCCGTGTTGTCGCATACTTTTGGTGCTCAATGGTGACCCTTCTGCTCGCAACAGAAATCGAGATCGTGTCGCTATTGCCTATTGATGGCGCTCCCATCCGCCTCGCTGGGCGCATGATTGATCCAGCGGTTGGAGTGGCTGCTGGTTGGAATTACTTCGTGAGTCAGGTCTGGTTCTCGTGATTAAGCACAAATGTTCGACGAGAAGCTTACAGTGCATTCTAGTTTGTGATGATCTCCTACGTTATGTTCGAAGCGACTATCATAAACACCATTGTTACCTACTGGGGCTATGACCAGTCGCCTGCCATCCTTATCTCAGGTAGAAAATACGCATTTATTGGGGTCGCCCGCCGTACCGAGCTAACATTGTGATAGCAACGCTGTTATTCTTCTTCTTGATCAACGTATATCGAGCAGATCTCTTTGGTGAATTCGAATGCATGTCAACCCGGTCTAACCTTATTGTTTTTGTACTGGTTGTACTAACTCTTCCCCTGGTCCTAGTCTGGGTAGCATTCGTCAAGATCCTCCTTGCTATCGGTCTCATGCTCTTCACCTTGATCGTCATGCTGGGCGGGAACCCCCTGCACGAACGCTTCGGCTTCCGATTCTGGCAGAATCCTGGGCCATGGGTCGGCAACACGGCGCCAACACGCCTCCAGTCGTTTGTTAACGGCGTCAACGTCGCTGGATATTGCATTGGAGGGCCGGAGTACCTCTCGATGGTGGCCGGCGAGTCCAAGGATCCCCGACGGGTTATCCCGCGAGCGTTCAAGACAATCATTTACCGCCTGATCCTCTTCTGCATCGGCGGCTGCATCTGCGTAGGCATACTCGTACCCTCCAACGACCCGAAACTTACTGAAGGCACCGGGGGCTTTGCGGGCGGATCGCCGTACGTCATCGCCATGCAACGCCTGAATATCCCCATTATGCCATCCATCGTCACCTGCTGCCTGCTCACCTTTGTCGTCTCCGGCGGCATCAACTTTACCTTTAATGCTTCGCGGGCCCTGCATGCCCTGGCACTGGACGGCCAGGCGCCCAAGTTTCTGCGCCGCCTGAACAGGCACGGCGTCCCGGACATGGCCGTCATCGTCGTCATCCTCCTATCTTGCCTGGCTTACCTGGCTCTGGGTTCCGGCAGCGCGGAGGTGCTCAACTGGCTGCTGAACTTCAGCACCGCGTCTGCCATGTTCTACTGGACCATCATGTCCATGACGTGGATCCGCTTCAACTCCGCCATGAAGGCGCAGGGCATCGATAGGAAAACGTTCCTGCCTGCCCGGTCGCGCTGGCAGCCCTTTGCAGGCTACTGGGCCTTCGGGTGGTCGTTCCTCTTCCTCTGGCTGCAGGGCTACGCGGTCTTCCTCCGTGGGAACTGGCAGGTGTCGACCTTCATCTTCAACTACGGCATCATTGCGTTCGCGGCCGTGATCGGCATCGCGTGGAAGCTCGTCAAGCGCACCCGGTTCCACCGCAGCAAGGAGATCGACCTCCATTCGGGGCTTGACTTCTTCGAGGCCTTGACGGAGCACTACCGCCTCGAGCGTGAGGGTGCACCGCAGAGCCTCAAGGACAAGGTCTTGGCGAAGCTGTTCTGAAGATGTCAAGACGCTGTTTGTTCCTTTGGGTGGCATAGTTGGGAGCTTCGCCCTGGAACCTTCGCACAGCCTTGTCGCTCGTTGGGTAGAACCACAGAAGAGCCATAGTCGTATGCACAGACTTTTCACGTTGGCCTCCAACAAGCAATCTTTATCACTTAACTAATCCTACAAGTCTATGAAACGAGTCATGTAAATCACTTTGCGCGCGTCAATACAGAGTAGGATATGCGTATACATGTACATCATGATTTCTTGACTCCTAGAAGTCTATGAGCGCATATACACCCCTGATTTATTTGTACCTGGCGAAGGGTTCGCCTGTCGATGCATGTGGACCTCTCTAACAAAGCTACCTTGTGAGCTTCAGGACATGTGATGTCGATGTTGCCTGCTTAACAACATCCTGCTCTTCGCCCTAGTTCGATAGCAAAGCCTAAGCCAAGTTTATAAGTCCCTAACCACCTAAGTATCTGACCAGTCCCTTAGAACCGAGCTGTGCCACTCAGAGCCGCCTCCATCATGAGCAGGATCCGTAATAATGATCGTATCTTTACTGATCAGCTATCCAAAGTGCAATTACTACATCGGCTAGGCGCCATCGGGGGGATTAGAAACTGAAAATTATACATTATTACGATAGTCTCGCGCTCAGGAGGCTGGGGATACCGTGGCATATCACAGTCAGTGCAGTAGATTGCCTACGTCGCTCTGCGATATGAGAGCAGAGCAGAAATGCGGTCAGCCTTGAGACTCATAGTGTCGGCGTCTACGGTGGTGGGGCCGAGGTGTCCTTGATACGAAGGACTCAGGGTCGCCTCCTGTTGGAACCAAGGCATCGTGTAATCTAATGCGATTAGCCTAATTAAGGTTAGTTCACTATAAATATACCTCTTTCTTTAAATTAAAAGAGCTTTAGACTTAAAGGAGAAATATATAGTAATTTATATAATTATCCCCTCTAGAAGTACTAGAGATATATAACTTAAATAAATATAATATAATTTTTGCCTATCAAATATGTGAAATCCAACACCTTAGTTCTAATAGCTTGTGCCAACAAGTAGAACCCCGACGCCAGCACCAGCACCAGCACCAGTACCAGCACCAGCACCAGCACCAGCACCCGCACCAGCACCTGACTCGTCTGACTCATCTGACAAGAAGATGAAGAGCCTTGCGCTGACACTAAAGACCGGAAAGGACTCACGGGATAAAAGGATAGAATCGAGCATAATCAATTCGTACAACCAGAACGAATAGAACTAGATATGGAGTGAGTTAGCATGCATGTAGTGGCAATAAATGGGTTTTGAAAGACATAAAAATCTTCTGTGTTTCTGCTTCATCAAACAAATTATTCATCAAAAACTCATGAGTGCTACGTGACAAGGCTCAATTGAATTTAGCAACAATTCTCATGATTAAATAACAGTCCCTACCGAACTAATCAATCGTGGTCGTCAGAGTTGTATCAAGCTATCTGATACATGTAGACACTTGGTAATGTTGGTCAGCGCTACTAAATCTAGTGCTCTGCGTGGCTCCCAAAAAACAAAGAGAAGACAACACGGGGAAAATGTTCAAGACGACAACAATAAGCCAGCTGAAGCAGCATCTTATTTGCCATCTCGCTGCTCATACACACGTGCCAAGGTTTGATAGTAAGGAAGGGGTTATACTTAGTTGAGCGCGGCATTGAGAGGGAAGGATTGAGGCTGATAAATCAGATAATTAGAGTGTCCGGATTAGCTTGAGGCCGCGGGATGAGGGCCTAGTAAGTAAGGTAGTCTCCAATAGCCACTCCAAAGAATGCAATGAGGCGAACAGCGTACAGAGTGAGCAAGTAAAACACGAAAGCAAGGAACTCGGAATTTCCAATGCAGGCGACTGGTGACTGCTCCGCGGAGATTAGCCAGTGCAATGTGAATTGGCGTTGGTGAAACTCTCTCATCTCATCGTTGAGATCCGGGGTCATGAGATCAACCAATCTACCCGGACGGTTTTCGCAAGGCCCGTGCGTGAAGGCTACTTGTGCGGTTTTGGCAACCTCTCGGACATTGATCTTCAGCCGTCATCGCCAAGCATAGCGGCCAACCCCTGTCACTAGGAAGGAGTCACAACCTGTTGCCTAAGGCACCGGTACCCTCTAAGGAGGCATTGGAAGATGATGGAAGCTTCATTTCTTGTTTCATCAATTTGGCGCGGCTCTTCTAATCGGTCGTCAACGACCACGGCATCGAATAAACAACCATCTTTGAATTATTTCTTCATTTTTCCCTTCAGTTACACCCTCAAACAATCTGTCTCCATGCGCTGCTAGAGTCGTGTGGTCTGTCATCACCATGGACGACCAGTTTGGACCTCATTTGTCGGGGGTGTTTGACTTCACGCTTCTCTTTGAGCAAAGCATCCTGTCCCTTCTTCCAACTGCATTGTTTATCCTTCTGACACCTTTCCGGGTGTTTGCCATCTGGAAAAATGAAACCTGCGTCAGGGCTGGGCCACTTCTGTGGGCAAAGCTGGTGAGACGACTCAACTAGAACAGCACCGCAATCAATTCATTTGTGGTGCTACGCCAGACGTCAATAGTGAGCTAATTGAAATTTCAGATCGCCATCATTATTTTCGCATGCCTTCAAGTCGCTCTCATTCTCCTGTGGTCCACCGGCTCTGCGCCCCGGACAAAGACCTCAATTGCTGAACCAGCCGTCGCGCTTGTCGAGAGCATTGCTATACTGACCCTCAGCTACTTTGAGCACCTAAAATCCCCTAGACCATCTCTTATGCTCAATTCTTATCTTATTATGAGCCTAATCTTGGACATTGCGTTGGGGAGAACTTTTTGGATCCGGAACAATATGCAGGAGATTGCTGCCGTTTTCACGGTCTCGATGGCTGCCAAATTCATCCTTCTGATCCTCGAGGAGATCCCCAAGTGCCATTTCACTGATGCGAGAGACACAGTCCGGGAAACATCAGCCGGTGTCATTAGCCGAAGCCTGTTCTGGTGGTTGAATCCCTTGTTGCTCGCCGGCTCCCGCGAGATTTTGGAAATTGATCACCTGGAGCCTGTAGGCGACAAGTTCGACTCAGACTATCTCTTGCAGCGGCTCGAGAGGGCCTGGAAAGAAGGTAAGTACTCGAACCCAGCCGCAGACAATGAACCTCGATACTAACACGCTGGTTAGAATCCAAGAAGGAGAAGCCCAGCCTCTTGGTCTGCACCTTGACTGAGTTCAAGTGGCCTGCCCTTGCTGGCGTGATACCTCGACTTCTGCAGAGCGCGTTCAACTTTGCGCAACCTTTTCTTATCCAATCGGTTATTCTTGCGGTCGGAAGTCCTCAGACCGAGCTCTCAGTCAAGATTGCAAGCGGACTCATCGGTGCGACAGCCCTGGTCTATGTCGGTATGGCGTTGTCAGCGGTTTGGTGCAAACATCTGTCGTACCAGTTGGTGACAATGTATCGTGGCGCGCTGTCGTCTCTCATTTTTAAGAAGACCCTGAACTTGAACTCCACAGAGATCAAAGACAACGCTCCAGTCACCCTGATGAGCACCGACATTGATGTCATCACCGCTGCGGGAGAATCCTTTCATGATATCTGGGCTAACTTTGTTGATCTCCCGATTGGAATTTATCTACTCTACCGGCAAGTCGGGAATGCCAGTCTTCTAGTTCTGATCCCAACTGTGGGTAAGTCTCATTCCCCCTCCCTCCATTCACTGAGTGAATGGTTCTTTGCATGTCCGAATACTCATCTATGATCAGTGAGCATTATTTGCAGCGGCATTATCTCCCCTGCGATGGAGCCCGCCACTGTTAAGTGGAACGCCGCTGTCCAAGCACGAATTGGCGAGACTTCTACGGTGCTCAGCCAGATGAAGGGCATCAAAATGCTGGGCCTGGCCGATTTTGCCTACAGGCTTATCGACGGCTTGCGCATCAACGAAGTGAAAGTCTCCGCAAAATACAGATGGCTTCTCGTCTATCTCATCAATCTTTGTAAATTTAAACTTTCATTGCCCGATCAAGTCTTGCAGGAACTGACCTTGAGTAGCTACAATTTCTGCTCAATTCACTCCCATGATTGTCATCCTTCCAGCGCTCTACTGGAAAGGTGGAAACGGGATGACTGTAGCTGAGGCTTTCACGTCCATCAGTATTATAGGCCTCGTTACGCAACCCCTGTCACTTCTTCTTGTATCACTGGCGCAAGTAGCCGGCATCACGGCCGGATTCGGCAGAATCCAGGCTTTCCTGGAGCTTCGAGAGCAGAAGGATGACCGATCTAGGCCCACGGCCCAAAGGGATGCGCTATTACCTGATTCGAAGTCTGGTCTAATTATCAATAATCACGATTTAGGGACTAAGAAGTCCGTTCCTGATGACATTGAACTGGCGAACATTGGCAGCGAAGATCATTATGCCATCTCGATTGATAATGCCACTTTCGCAACGGCCGAAAATGTCACGCTGCTGCGTGAAATTGACTTCAAAGTGGCAAAAGGCTCCTTGACAATGCTCGTGGGTAAAATCGGTTGTGGAAAATCATCATTACTAAAGGCCATCATTGGCGAGATCGCAATACAGTCCGGCGCCGTGAGTGTAAGCTCCGACACGATTGCGTATTGCGACCAAAATGTATGGCTTCGAAATGCCACGGTCCGGGATAACATCATTGGTCAATGTTCCTACAACGAGCAACTCATGACTTCTATTTTGAGAGCATGTGCTCTTGATGAAGATGTTCTTTCAAATTTCCCTTCTGGAGACTTGACCTTGGTTGGCTCTGGTGGGATAGCGTTGAGTGGTGGACAGAAGCAAAGAGTTGTAAGTACTCATTGTCAGATTGGAAATTTGCATAAGCTCACCTATCTCCTTTTTTGTTTCAGTCTCTAGCCCGTGCCCTGTATGCTCAGAAGAGCATCTACGTACTTGACGATATATTCAGCGGTCTCGACAACAAGACGTCAAATGCTGTCTTTGAGCGACTTCTGGGCGCCACTGGATGGCTTCGAAAGAAGCACATCACTGTCGTGCTAGCCACGCATAACGGTATGCTTTTCAAGTCTAGAACGGCCATGGAAAATATACTGACCCGCCACAGGACATTTTTTGCAAGCCGCAGATCACATTACGATGCTTGAAGAAGGCCGTATTGTCCAAAACCAGGTTACTTACAAGTCCATCGAGTCGTCACTTGTAAATGTTCTTGGCAAGGGCAAGTCCAAGAAATCATCTGAAATCGAGAGCAGCATACCGACGCTAGATGTCCAGGAACCTACGGAACCACAGACTGGGATTCCCGCGATACAAGATACGAAAGACTCTGGAAGGCAGACTGGTGACATCGAATGTTACAAGATCTATATCCAGTCCATCGGATTGCTGATTATTTCTGTGTGCTTCTCTATAAGCGCAATAACCTCAGCATTGGAGGCTATGCCGAGTACGTATTCAACCGCAGAAGCAGACTACCCTGGCCATTTAGCTAACAAAATGCAACTCAAGATGTTATGCTGAAGTTTTGGACCGAAAATGGCGGCGACCTTGCTTCCACGGGCTATCTTGGCGGCTATATTGGTTTCGTCTTCAGTGCCGCTTTGTTTGGATTAGTTGATATGAGGTACGCTTATTAGCCCTCTTTCTCACCTTCAACTCACTATTAGTTTCCATGCTGACAATGTCTCACAGCTTTTTCATCATCGTCGGTGTCCCTATATCATCTATAAATCTCCACAGAAAGCTGCTTAAGACAGCCTGCCGGTAAGCGCCATGCCAGTGAGACCATGTTGAATCTTCCATTGACTTCTGCCCAGGGCTCCGTTGTATTTCTTCACCAGCACTGACAGTGGCTCCATTCTTAATCGGTACGTGCAAAGAGAGCGATAAACCCTACCTGACTAACTTCAGAACGCAGGTTTAGTCAAGACATGACATAGATCGATCAGAATCTTCCTCTTGCCTTTATTCTCACACTTGAACGTAAGTATATCGCTATATTTCATAATTAGCCATTTCTGACTGGCGGCTTCCAGTACTCTTCAGGATCATTGTTCAAATTGGTGTTCTGTCTTCCGGCGCCTCGTACGCTGCGGCCTTCATCCCATTTGCATTCCTATGTCTGTACATGATCCAGAAATATTACTTGCGCACCTCGCGACAAATGCGTTTTCTCGACATCGAAATGAAGGCGCCTCTTTACACCAAGTTTACCGAAACGTTGGCCGGTCTCCCGACGGTCCGTTCCTTTGGCTGGTCCGAGGGTCTTATGCGCGATTACCAGAAGCACTTGAACACTTCCCAGAGACCATACTATCTCATGTTTTGTATCCAGAGATGGCTGCAAGTTGTTTTGAACCTGTTTGTCGCTGGTGTCGCGGTATTTTTGGTGTCGTTAGCTCTCCGCGTCTCAGGGGCTTCGAGTCAAGGATCCATTGCGTTGGCCTTGGTCAATTTAGTCGCCTTTAACATCACCCTTACGGTTATGATCGAGCAGTGGACGCAACTAGAGACATCTCTCGGTGCTATTGCCAGATTGAAGGCATTTGCTAAGGAGACGCCGGACGAGAACAAACCCAATGAGACTGGGGTTCCTCCAACAGACTGGCCATCAAGTGGTAAGATTGAGGTGGAGAATATTGTCGCTTCCTATAGGTGAGTTAACTGAAACCGCTGCCCTCTGTTCATGTAACTAATAAAAAAAATCAGTGAAGACAAGGAAGTTGTTCTTCGGGACGTGTCTTTGACCATTCAACCTGGCCAGAAGGTTTGCCTATGTGGCAGGACCGGAAGGTATGTGCATCGTCTCAATCGATCTCAGCCACTGCTAACTTTCAGACAGTGGAAAATCCTCACTGATTTTATCCTTCTTACGACTACTCGAGCTCCGCTCTGGCACAATTCGCATCGACGACATTGACATCTCGACACTTTCCCGCCAGCAAGTCCGCTCGCAACTCAACACTCTCCCCCAAGAGCCCCTCAAGCTTTCCGGCACGATACGCCATAACCTCGACCCAGAAGACCGCATCCAGGCCGACGAAGTTCTCATCAACGCCCTTAGAAAAGCGACCATATGGCCCATTGTAGAGTCCCGTGGTGGACTCGACGCGATCGCAAGTGAGGTAGGATTCTCGGTTGGTCAACAGCAGCTCTTCTGTCTTGCTCGCGCCCTGCTCTCAAGAAGCAAAATCGTCCTCTTCGACGAGGCAACGAGCAGTGTTGATTCAGCGACCGAGAAGGAGATCCGCCGCATTATAAAAGAGGAGTTTGTGGGACGTACGATTATCGAGGTTGCTCACCGCATTCAATCTATCGAAGAATATGATGTCGCTGTCGTGATGGGCGGCGGTAGGGTGCTCGAAGTTGGTAACCCGGAGGAGCTTCTTAGTTGCGATTCGGAGCTGAAAAAGCTTTGGGAAGCTCAAGGCGTTGCTGGACACGTGGAGGAGAAGTGAACAACCAGCCTGGATAACCCTTCCAGGAACATTTGAACGATGGTCCATCATGGAGAGAAGGCTGGAAACACCGTAATTGTACCATTAAAAATTCCCAACTCGACATAAGAAGTCTCCAATCAAAATAAATAATATTTCAACTAAGACTAGCCATCGCAGCGCCTTCTCAGGCCAAAATCATTTGTAAAATGCATCCTGTAGTCCACATGTCTAAGGAAATACCGCTAATTTATCGGTTGCATCTGGTAATAGTCGATTAAACAAGTGCCCTAGGATCTGCTCATAGTAATACATGTAGTTCTAAACACTACCAACCATGATGTCGAATCAAGACAATCGGGTGAAAGGTCTTGAGGGAGATCTCATTTCAGTTACACCTTTGTATCTAGATTTCGATCTTGCGTTGGCCCATAGTTACTCCGCGGCACACCTGGCTCTAGCGATTCGTCTGGATCGCTCAACGGACCCTTGGAAAGGTAGGCCCTGCTCGCATTCTCACTCGCGCCGCCGCATTCACACGTTTGTCGAACTAGACGTGCGGCCATTTCGCGGTACTCCAGATACTCCTTTGCCACCCGGGAGATGTACATTACGCCGCCGGCGGTGAGTGCCAGCAAGGCCAGGCTGAGTAGATAGTTTCCGTCCAGAAGCGTTGTGGTGAGGCCTCCAACTAAGCAGATGCCTAAAATGAGAAGGGAGAGAAGCAGCGCGATCCAAAGCGCGATGGGGATGTCGCCAGGCCTGTTGTTCTGGCATGTACATTTCTTCATGTCTGTTATTCGCACCTGGCCGGTCATCGGTGCGCTCTGGTTGGTGTGACTCGCTGTTGCGTTTGCTGCGTTCGAGGACTTGAAACATACAGGCTCATTTTCTGTGTCACTTGTCGGTTCGGGCAACGTCGTGATGACCAATCGATGGTGATGACCAATCCATAGGCCTGTTGGATGCCTGCCCGTCAGCTGCGCCTCTTGCTGGGCATCTCCCTGACCTGACCAAGATGCCGCTACGGCTTAGCCATAGGTTCCTGATAGTTGCTGGCGACCACGTCTTCGAGCAGATGCTCCAGAAAGACGGCTTACAGTTAGTGCCCCTGAAACTTGCTCTTGGTAAACGTAAAGGGGGGAAGACCTAACTAGATTCTCAGGCACTTATTGATTGGATCATCTGATTCCAATTGAACAAATTTTAATAAGCCACAATGGATTAGCGGTAGTTGTCTTCCTTTCTGGAATTACGCTCAATGGTTCTCATCCTTAATCATTGGTATTCGACTGGAAGAATTAGTATGCCGGGCACTTGAGCTAGGATCGGCACACCACCTCTTTCACTCAATACATCACATCGACAAAAGAACCAATATGAATCGCTGGCGGGTTACACGCAGCATGATTGCATATTTGATCATTGCTACGATGCTCTTTCGGAGGAAGGGCGGCGCTCGGGGAAACACACCGTGGGGGCCAATGTAACGCGGTAGCATGAAGAATCGGAACTGTGCCGCGTATCATTGGGCCAATCTCTGGTGGAGCGGTGCACAGCAATGTATGTCTGCAGGAGAATAAGCTGATGAGAGGGGGAACCTATACCCGTCGCCCCCGAGACGGGAGCTAATGTGCCCGAGGATGCCTATAGGCTATTTCATCTATTTTCCGCCACCACACAAGTTGACGCACTGGCCAAAGCACGGTATGGTCATATTCTCACTACCGATTTATGCTATGCCTGCTGATCGAAATCATCTCCGGACTTGTTGGATCCCGCCACCAGTCCCTTCTGGCTGCTAGTTCCAGCCACTACTGAAGACTTGGTCTCCCGTGTTTCATCCACCCAGAGTTTACTACTCTCTGCCTCAGCCTCAACATCACCAATTGAATGCCATGTGGTTAGTGTGCGCTCATTAAATGTTTCAAGAGGGACCCAAGACTGGTCACTGTGCTGTTTGGGCGGCTGGTAGCCTGGGGTATTTCGGTCCGTAGACTTCGCCTCCGAGTGCGGAATAAACCCAATAAAACGTGCGAACAAAGGTTTGAGCGAAGCCACCGAGCTACATATGATGGCCAGATTAATTTCCAGGCTAGACCAAGTGGTGACTGAGCTGCCTAGGACTGCATATGTGGTCAATATTGCTCTCCGTTAAAACGTCAGCCCCGCGAAATGAGAGGGCTTACTTGGTCTTTTGTCAACTGTGGCTGAAAAGAACGTCACAAGCGCCTGGAGCCTCAAGATAGATGCAATAGAAGCCCTGTAGAATTTTCAGTGATCTGTAGATTATGCTGACAGAAAAGGGGAAGGGGGGAGGGGAGGATCATACACTAAGCCGCAGGTCAACGTCACGACAAGAATCACACGCACTCTAACGGATACATTAAGTTTAACCAGTATCGGCATAGGAAAGACCAGAAGAAGGAAGTCGTTCGCAATGTTGATGGAAGAGAGCGTGCTAGGTAGAATTAGCTCCAAAGCCTAAATGGCCTATTTCGTCACAGGACACAGGACAGATATGAAGAACGCTTACTAGTGAAGATAACCCCATTCAATACAATAGCCCTGAGTATCATGATCCCAAAACTTTCGGACAGGGATGCAGCAGAAGATCGGTGTAATGCAGTTCACCACACCGTAGATAACGAACCAAAGGATGATCCATCGCACAATCTTCCTAGGTTTTGCAGTCGAGAATATCCGATAGTAAAGCACTGAAATTGATAATTTAATTATCCACTGGCTCCATGTATATATCAAGGTAGTGAAGAATTCGGTGTGTAAGAATGATTTGAAGTCGTCTGGCTTGACCCCATAGCCCAGGCCCAGTTCGATCTCTGCATGGCAACAAAAGTCAATGGAATGTTTAACGAGTTAGGGAGAAGGAGCTGCAGATTTCGTACCATGAACAACGGTCCCAATGTAGGCTATTGAGAAGCCCTGTGACGATAATTAGCTCGGTGACAACCAGCAATGGGCCTTGTAGAGAAGAGACTCGCCATGGAGAGGAATATCAACCAGTCCTCGAAACCCACCAGACGGGTTAGGATAACCCGGCTGTAAAACCTCATCAAGACCACAGCGAATGCCAGGCAGGTGAAGAGGAAGATAAGAATGAACCAGACGCGGTTTTGAGGAACAAGCGGCACGCCAGCGAAATACCACATCGTGACAATCAATTTTGCCTTTAACGTTGGCTCTAGTTTAGAAGGTCACGTTCCAGGGAATGCTTCTGGCACATTCGGGGTATTTAACAGTAACAGTCGGGTGGACAGAATAGAAACTTGGAGCGATTTTATTGATTTTGCGGCCGTATTCAACAGCCCATAGTCTCTGAGTTCGGCATTGACTGCAGGGGCAAGGGGAGATGCGCGCCCGCGGCATCTGGGGCGGATGATGCAAGAATCCTACGGATCAGCTCCGTGAGGGTCTGAGGCTGGCGTAATGCAGTCAGCAAATATGGGGGTTGCAACGCATCACCTCCAGTACGACGTAGGAGACTCAAACTTGCATTGTGCGGTAGCGATGGCCGTAATATGGTAGTATCGGTTATCTCTTGCACAAAATCGGGTTTCTTGTCATTCACAAATTGTAAATCATCATCTGCTAGTCCTGGGTGCCATGTCATTAGTGCTACCATCAATATCACGAACTCTGTCTTAGGCTGCGGTAGTTTCGTAATGCTGGCATGCCTAGTTGCCAGGCTCAAGGCTGAACAGATCGCATGGCCGACGAAGGTGAGTGTATCTACGCGAATTAGTCCATATATAGCTGACGATCAAGCGCAGTAGAAAGACATTGTCCTTTTTGAGCCTGCTACGGGCAACTTGGTTGTCTCTTATCAAAACCCAGCGTTCTAGGTTAAAAGGGAAGCTTGATAATATTTTTATTATAAAGGAAAATATTTAAAAAGGCTTTAAAAATATTAAATTTATCTCTTTAAATATTAAAAGTATTATTTTAAAGCTAAATATATAAATAAGTATATTAATATTATTAAAGTTATTAAATAAATTACTTAATCCTTAATAATTAAAGACTTTAATTAATTTATTAAAGATAACTTTATAATTTAAATATCTTTAAAGATAAATAAGATTTTATTAAAGTAACTCTTTTATTATAAATAAAGGCCTCTATTAGGCTATAAGAAGTTATATATAAAGTAGACTAATAAGCTCTACTTAGGGATTAATAAAATTAACCTATTACTTAAGTAAAGTAATAGCTTAATAATAAGATAGTAATAACCCTAGTATATATATATATTTATTTCTTAAATAAAGATACTCTCTTAAATAATTATTAATATAATTACTATTATTTTTATTAAAACTAGCTCCTTAGTACTTATATATTAATAGTAACTTATATAATATTAAATAACTTAATTATATTACTTAAAATAATACTTTAATTAATTTAACTTTAACTTACCTTAGACCTTATTTAATATAAGTTAATTAATTATTATATATTAATAATTCTTATTTAGCTAATTACTTTATCTTAATTACTATATAATAATAAAGAAGATACTATAGCTTTTATTATATTTATTAATAATACTTAAGTAAAATCTACTATTTAAGAGATAATATAAAATCTTATAGTCTAAATTAATTAGCTTAAGAAGGGGAAAGTAAAGGATTAAAAAGAAGTTATTTAATTAATTCCTTTAAGACCTTTCTCTAAAGATATTAAAGAGCTAGAGGGATTTAAGCTCTAGCTTTAAGTTTACTTTAAATTCTTCTTAATTAAACTTAGGGATAATAAGGAGTAAGTTAAATATATAGGAATATACCTTATTAATACTATAGGATAATAATTCTAAGCCTATTTAAAGGATTAATATAATAATAAAGCTAAGTTAAGGAATAAAGATTAAGAAATTATTAATATTCTTACTAGCTATATTAACTTTATTACTATAATTACTTATATATTTAGTATAATAGATAAGGAATAATAAGCTATTAAAGATCTTAAGGATCTTAAGTAAGTAGGACTTATATTAAGATATATTATTAAGTTTAAGGAAGTTATAACTTAGTTAAACTAAGATAATAGACCTCTTAAAGTAGCTTTTTATAATAAACTAAAGGAGGAAGTAAAAGACTAACTCTATAAACTTAAGGAACTAAATAACCTATTTAAATATATAGTAAATATAATAAGGATTAATAACTACTTATATAAATAAAAATAATAAAAAGGGAATAAATATAGTAATTAGAATTATATTAAGTTTATAAATAAACTTAATTAAGGAATATAATAAATCTTATTATTATTTATAGAGTTTAAGATATACTTAAGTCTTATAAAGCTAAGGACTATAAAAAAAAGGAAATATTATAATTATAAAGAAATAAAGTATATATCCTCTTAATATTTAAAACTTAAGAAGTAATATAATTAAAAGCTTATTAAGAAAAATAAAAGATAATTAGAAATAATTAAAAAAACTAAGAATTAGATCTTAAGAATAATTTAATAAATAACTTAAGAAGGAATATCTATAAATATAATAATTCCTAAATTTTCTATAATACTTATATCTATTTTTACTAAAATTTTAAAAGAATAAGAATAATAAGAAAATAATATAATAAAAGAAAATTAATAATTAATTAAAGAAGTTTTTAAAATATAAAAAAAAAGTATAAAAAAGAGGAAATTAACTTAAAGTATAATCTTTTAATTAAGTATAAATTAATATTTTAATATTATAATAAGTTTATTAAATATATACTAAAAGAGAGAAAATACTATTTATAAGTAAAAAATATAATATAAGTAGAATATAAAGAAGTATATATATATTATTAATTAAAGATTAAATAATAAAACCTAGATATTATAATAATATTTATAATTTATAAATAAAAGATAATAAATACTATTTAATACTTAAATAGCCTTTTTAAGTTATTAAGCTATTAAAAGAGTATTCTTAAATTTAATTATTATAAAGAATTATAAATAATATATTATAATATCTTTTATATAATTTATTAATAATAAAAATAAGGAATAATACTTTTCTTTAACTTAATAGTAAAATACCCTTTAGATATATTAATAAATAAATACTTTACTTTATAAATAAACTACTTAATATTAATTAATATTCTATCTTTAAGGAAGACTTAAAGAGATACCTTAAAGAATATAAATTTAAGGAATTATTAATTAAGTTATACTAAGAATAATAATATAAAATCTATAAAGAAGATAAAATTAACTTATAGTATAAGTAAAAAGCTTAAGAAGATTAAATAGCTTATAACTATAAGGGATATATAAAATAATATAATAACTAGAAATATTTAAATTATTTATATATAAAATAATTAATACTTAATATAGTAAAATAAAGAGATAATAATAAGAACTATATAAAGAAATCCCTAAAATAATAATAAGATTAAGAAAGGAATAAATATTAATATTAAGAATAAGTTATTATAATATTATTAATTAAAGATAAAGAAATTAATAAAGAATAAGAATTATATTTATAAATAAAAGAGAATAAACTATAAATTACTCTTAAGAAAGATAATACTCTTAAAGAATAAAATAAAATTAGCTAATAATAAAGAAAGTTCTAAAGGTATATCCTAAAATATATAATATACTTAAATACTTAAGAACTTCTAAAGTAAATACTTAAATATAATAATAAGTATAATAAACTTAAAGAATAAGTTAATTAAGTAAAAAATAATAAAAACTTTTTATAATAAAGTATAAAAGATAAAATAAAAGGTTAAAAGACTTAAGAGTAATAGAAATTAAAAGCTTTATTAATATTATAATTAATATTAAGATTATAGGAAAATACTTATAGTTTTAATAAATTATAAAGTATAAGAGATTATATCTTATTAATAGTAATTAACTAACTCTACTTATTATAAGGAATAAAGGAAAAACCTTATATAATATTAAATATTAAAGGAATATAGTTTAAGTATAATAATAAGATTATTAATTTAAAGATTAATTATTTTATAATAAAAATCTAAGAAAGAAATTCTATATTATTATAATATAATATTATTAAATATTTATAATATTATATTAAGACTACCTTAACTAAGAGATATTAACTTACTAATTAATTAGTTTACTAATTATATAGAATAAAGGGATATTCTTAAGAATTAATATTAAATTAATAAAAATTAAAATTTTATTAAATATTAAAAGAATTTAATAAAACTTTAATAATTAAAGGTATTATTATAAAAAATAATAACTTATAATAATAAGTAGATATAGTAGTTATAGCTTTAATAATACTATAATTAGAAAAAAGTAAAACTTATTATAATAAGAACTAAGATAAACTATATAGATCTTAAATTAAATATAGAAATAAGAATAACCTCTAAATATATCTTTAATATAATTAATTAGGAATAATTAATAAAAGAATAATAGTAAGAATATAAAGTTAAATATAGCTAATAGTAAAAGAGATAGAAAAACCCTTATTAAGCCCTTTAATATTAGAATTTAGAATAAAGCTAAATAAATAATTAATAAAAGTATAATAAAATAAAGAAAGTAATACTTAGTATAAGTATATATAAGTAAAATACTTAAGAAAAGAAGAATAACTTAAAAATATTCTATATAAGTATAATTACTTTAAATAAAAACTATTTAGGAAGAACTTAAAATAAGATTACTTAAATATAGTTAATAAGATTATAAAATCTTTATTATTAAAGGAGGAGAGCTAAATTTCTATAAACTATATAACCTTATAAAACTTAGCTATAAATACTTTATAAATATATTAATAATATAATATAAAAAGCTATATATAATTATTAACTTTATCTATAAAATACTTTATAATATTTATATTAAAGAAAAATAAGAAATTATACTTTATTATAAATTATTAATAACTTAATAAAATTACTTATAAAATAAAATACCTTTATTATTAATTATAAACTAAAGATTAACTATAAGGTAAATAATAATTTATAATATTAAATTTAAAAGAGTATATAACTTAATATAAATAAGAAAAAGATAAATAGAAAATAGTATTTAGAATAAAGTTTAACCTCTATAAATATCTTATTATATTCTTTAAATTAATAAATATACTTATAATATTTTAATAAATAATTAATTAAGT